AAAAGATGGACATGAAACAAAACAGAAACTTTTTTAGAAACAAACTTGGGAGTGGAGGAAGAGGAAACAACTGAGCCTCTTATAAAGATTTATCCTACATGCATTGCAACTATTTTTCAAATTCATTACTAGAGATTCCCAACATTCTTTGACATATCTAACAAAGACCTTATTGGTAAATAACTGAGAATCATATAGCTGAATAAGATATACTATTAAAATATAACTTTTTTGGGCTGCGGATATAGCTCAGCAGCACAAGTGCCTGCCTGGCAAGGGCAAGGTCCTGGAGTTCAATTCCTGGTACCAAAAAAAATAAAATAAAATACAACTTTTTGGGGGCTATGACTCAATTATACTGCTTAAAATTGTCTACGTGAGTATGTGGGCTGATATAAGAAGCATTTATCCCAGACTACATCTCAAGAAATCTGCTTCATTTACAATCTTCCTTTCTAATACTTTGCAAATATATGAGTTATGATCAAAATGTATCATGAATATTTAATTTTTAAAAATTTACTATGATAAAAGGCACTAATCCTCCTCAAAATCATTCCCTCACTTCCAACACACTTATCTCACCATTTCTGGAGCAACTGTGGCATGTGGTAGCATGCTAATTAGTGGAGGCACTCAGACTAAGATCAAGAGGTACTTCATTAGTACTTTTGCTTTGGCAGCACACAAATTTCTTTTTAAATAGTAGGTAGGCTTAACTGTCTCTAATAATCCTCAATAATATCATATTCTTTGGGAACTAGGACTGTGTCTCACTCATTTGAACAAAATCCAATATATAAGAAACTTTGCTGTATTAAAAACTCACTTCTACCTGGGATAGCTCAGCAAAAAAGCACTTGACCTGACATGTTTGCAACACTGAATTGAATCCCCAGTGCTGGAGGAAAAACACACACACACACACACACACACACACACACACTCACTTCATAATAAGAAAACAGAAAAAGGCTGCCACTGTCCATTATTTCTTAATCTGACTAATGAGATATTGGTAATAAAATATTCCAAATTCACTAGAAATGAAGGAGCATGCTTCTAACCCCAGCTACTCAGAAGGCTGAGGCAAGAGGATCACAAATTCATTCAATGGGAGTTTAGTCAGACCACATCTCAAAATAAAATTTAAAAAGGGAATGTAGCTCAGTGGCACAGCACTTGCCAATCATGTGCATGGCCCTGAGTTCAATTCCCAGTACTGTACCACCAAAAACAAACACACACACACACACGTAAGATGACACCAGGTGCAAAATGCATCATCTGTGCTTTTTCAGGTCCCAGAATCAACAATTTAAAGGAAAAAAAAATCTTCCTCTATTCATCTGCCAAATTCTATTTCACTATTAATCTAGAAATGAAACTTAAGGGACACATCCAATGAAAAGTAAAGGAATCATTTCATTTCTGGATCATTATAAGCCAAGAATCTTAATAAGGAATGGACTCAAAATACAACAATAAGCATCATGTTGGTACTCAAAGCTCTCAAGAAGGTGTTGTCCCAATAACTAGTCCAATATCAATTTAATATCACATATAATATGCAAGCCCTAAATTAACTCAAAGGTGATCATTCTAATTTTTAAGAACATCTTGATGCTACTTGTCTATCTAAAAATTTGACTTAGATTCTTATATTCACTATTTTTTAAAAACTTTGAAGCTTAAATTAAGCACTTAAGCTAAAGAACTAAGATCAAAAACGAGTAAACTGGGTATAGTGGCACATACCTATAATCTAGCACTCTGCAAGCTGAAGTAAGAGGATCCCAGGTTCTAGGCCAGCTTGGTCAGTTTACCAAAAACAAAAAATGAACAAAAAAAAAATCTGTAATTTCAGCACTCAGGAGGCTGAGCCAGAGGATCACCACGAATTCAAGGCCAGCCTGGGCTACATAGTGAGCTCAAGGCAAGCCTGAACTACATAGCAGGACTCTATCTCAAAAAAACAAAAATGAAAAAAAACGTAAAACAAAAAACACAGTTACCTAGACCAGGGGTGGGTGGTACATGCCTGTAATCCCAGCAGTTGGAAAACTGAGACAGGAGGCTCACTGTGACTCCAAGCCCTCCCTAGGCTATATAGTGAGTTCAAGGCCAGCTTGAATTACACAGTAAGATCTTCCTCCAAAACAGCCCAAAAAATAAGCAAGAAAATAAATAAAAAATAGTTAACTGCCCACCAATGTAACAATAGTTAGTAAGTGTAGTAAATCTGTATTGTAGAATATATATTTCTAAAATGAAGAATAAGGGATGGGAGTGTAGCTAACTGAAGCAGCACTTGCCTAGCATGCAGGAGGCCCTGGTTTTGATCCTCAACACCGCAAAAACAAAAACAAGGAACAAAAAGCACTATATAAAATGAGGAATAGTTTTGTTACTATCATTATAGCTTATATTTATTAAACTAAATATCATGTATCAACTGTTTGAAGCACTTCACATATTAGTATTAACCGCCAACAATCCTAAGAATAATTATTATTTTACAAAGGAAAACTAAGGTACATAGCAGGAAAGTAGTTTACCCAAAGAAATGTTACTTAAGTGGAGAGCTGGGATCCAACTCCAACAGTCCAGCTCCAAATATGTACTGGGACGCTTAACCACTCAACAAATTCTTTCTTTCTCAGTCATGCTATAGCAGGATCGATGACACGGTGAATGAAAAGGCAAGTTCAGAATAGTGTACATGTCTGAATATGACACTTCCCTTTCTACCCAAGAAAAAAATTGTTTCTATATAAGATGTGTATATAGAAAAAGTATGGAGAAAAGAATTTTTACTTAAATGAAAGCTCTAAAACCAAGATTAACATTAAACTTAATGATTAAAATTCTAAAAAAATGAAGAGCCAACATGGAAAAGAGAACAAACCCTGGAGAACCGGTGCATCTAGCAGAAAAAGATTTTTAAAAATTCCTAATTAGTACCATAAAAAGATTCAAGATCACATTTCCCAATTTGGTTATTAAAAGATTTTAAAAAGCTAATTATTAGAACATGAAATAAAGCAAAATAATATAAAGCAAAAGTTGGTAAGAAAAATAAAAAACTGAATGGAAACAGGAAGCAGAGCATATTCACAACCTTTGTTTACTTCACACTTTAGCATACTTTCTCTTATACCTTTTGATCTACTTCTATGATTTATCCCCAGAAACATCTAGTCAAGTACAGAAAGAATCTGTATAAAAACATTTAGGACACCATGGTTCATGACAGAACAGAAATAACCTAGATAAGATTACAAATTATTGATTATAACTCAGAATTATCTAGCTGGGTGTGGGCACAGGCCTGCAGTCCCAGCACTCAGTAGTAGGCTGAAGCAGATCACTGTGAGTTTGAGGCCAGCCTGGACTACACAGTGAGTTCAAAGATAACATAAACTACATAGCAAGATACTCTCTCAAAAAAAAAAAAAAAAGGGAACATCTCTATTAAGAAATCCTATTTCCCAAATAATGAAGATAGATCTGGAGTCTTGGGAGGATTTTTAGTTGTTTTGCAGTACTGCAGATTGAACACATGGCCTTCACACTAAGCTACATCCTCAGCCTTTCTCTTACTTTTTTTTATTGTAGTCAGTCTCATTAATTTGCTAAATTGTCCAGATTAGGCTCAAATTTGTGATACTCCTGCCTCAGCTACCCAGCGTGTGGAGATTACAGGTATGTGTCACCACATCTGGCTAGATCTCTATGATTAACTCCATCTGCAATATAACACACGAAAGTGTTAAATTATATAGCTTTCCTGCAGAGACATGGAGGCCCACAGCAAGCATCGCTCCAGCACAAGTTCACTGTCACCCACCTGGGAGTGCTTGGGGTCTCAAGGTCCAAAGAGCTGTTAACTATGGACAACAACTGAGGAGTACTAGACCAAGTTGAGAACTTTCTCCCACAGGCGGCCCAAGCAAATGAAAAGCTAAGGAAAGAAACGGAAGCTGCTCCCTCTGTTCATTTCAATATTGAAAATATTGATGGCACCCTTGGCAATATACAAATGGATGTGGCCTTATTTAAGATGAATCAGACAGATTCAAAAGAAGAGGACAGTTCAGAAGAGAATTCCCAAGACAGTTTGGAATACAGTTCAGAGCCCAAGGATGATGCCGACAGTGTCACTTATGAAGTCACCATGAATAACATTACGCTTCCTAATTCAGAAGATGGAAAAGACAACATTGCAGTTTGGGCTAGTCCAGCAACAGAGAAATACAAGAGCTAAGAAGAAACAGGTGACATATACCTGGTAATTCTGTGTGAAAGAATGCCGTTCCAGGCGTTCTGCATTTCTGGTACCTACAGTGCTCTTATGTGTTAAAAGAAAAACTTTAGGCAAATCTAATAGGCTGAGCAAAGAACAATTCATGCATCAGGCAGCACTCAAAATGGGAAGGGTTCAGACAGTGCCACTATGTAGTGAGGGCAGCCAGTTTTTATAGCTAAAAACAGAAATAAAGTACAGAAATAACTTGCTTTAGTCACACTGAGTCCTTTGCCTTGGTTGGACATGGTCTAAGCCACTGGGGGCCTGGGATTGACTGAAGCTCTGCTGATTGAGCTAGGTTGAACCCCAGTTATTTGTTACAAAAATACACTTCTATTTCAGTTGTTAAAATTATTTTCTTTGTGAGTCAAATTATGTACTGTGATTATACTTCCTTCTCTAAGTTTTGTACAGTAAAGAAGATTTTGAATGTTTCACTATAAAGAAATGATAAATGTTTGAAGTGATGGATATGTTAATTACCCTGATTTGATCATTACACAGTGTTTGCAGGTATCAAAATAACACACTATATGCCACAAATTTGTTCAATTATGTGTCAACGCAAATAAATACAAAGAAAAAATACACTATTTTTAAAAAAGTACATAACATGGTGGCGCACACCTGTAATCCCAGCACTCAGGAGGCTGAGGCAGGAGGATCACTGTAAATTTGAGGTCAGTCTGTTCTACAAAGTGAGTTCAAGGCCAGCCAGAACTCCACAGTAAAACCTAGTCTCAAAAAGAAGGAAAAAAAAAAAAAAAATCATATATATATACACATAATAACCCCCTTTTTCCTCAAGAGATAGATAGGTCCCAAGACCCTGAGTGGATATCAAAAACCTCAATACCAAACCCTCCATGTTTCATATACAAAATACTATCAATAAAAATAAGAACAATATAACAATATACTATAATAAAAAGTTATTTAGGGCTGGAGATATAGCTCAGCGGCACAAGCACCTATCAATAAAAATAAGAACAATATAACAATATACTATAATAAAAAGTTATTTAGGGCTGGAGATATAGCTCAGCGGCACAAGCACCTGCCTGGCAAGCGCAAGGTCCTGAGTTCAATTCCCAGTACAAAAAAAAAAGTTATTTAAAACTTTTAAAAGTTATTTAAAATGGACATTAAATTTTCCATTTAATTTCTGACCACAGTAGGGCTATCTATAGCTGAAATAATGGAAAGCAAAAACCATGAATAAAGGAGGAATACTATGTTAAGAAAAAAGACACTATGAAATGTGATCCAATTTTAATTAAAATAACAACTTAAAATAGATACAGGCACAGAAAACATTCTGAAGAAAGACATCAGTTAAAAAGCAGTTTAGGGGCTGGGACTTAGCTCAGTGGCAAAGTGCCTGCCTGGCAAGCACAAGGTTGTGAGTTTGATTCCCGGTACCAGAAGAAAAACAAAAAGAAAAGCACACAAAAAAAGCAGTTTACACTAGAGGGAATTCAACTTGCTACTACTTTACTATACAGTAAGATAAGTCTCTTTTACTACAAAATAAAATTCACGCTGGGCATGGTGGTGCACACCTGTAATCCCAGCAATTGGGAGGCTGAGGAAGAAGGATCACTGAAAGTTCGAGACCAGCTTGGGCACAAGTGAGCTCAAGGCCAGCCAGAACTGCATAATGAGACCTTGTATCAAATAAAAAAAGACAAAAAATAAAAATAAAAAAATAAAATTCATTATGAAAAATTTTGTTAAACATACAAGGTATTTTAAGGAAATAAATGAAAAATTATAGGACATGATTCTGATATTTGAGACAGAGATTTAAAACTTAACTCCAAATATCCAAATATGGTGTAACAGCCAGGCGTGGTGGCACACGCCTGTAATCCCAACATTAGGGAGGCTCAGGCAGGAGGATCATTGCGAGTTCGAGACCAGCCTGGGCTATAAAGTGAGCTTAAGGCCAGCCTGAACTGCATACTGAGACCCTGTCTCAAAAGAGACCAAAAAAAAAAAAAAAAACAAACAACTAAATATGGCATAACTTAACTCCAAATATGAGCAACCTTTTAGAAATAATCTCTCTCAGGCTGGTGGCAGTGTTGCATGCCTGTAATTCCAACACTTGGGATGCTGAGGCAGGAGTATTACTGCCAGTTCAAAGCCAGCCCAGGTCACAAACTGAGACCCCGTCTCAAAAAACAATCCCCCCCAGAAGAAATAACCTCTCACCCAGAACAATTCAAGTATTTTTATAGATGAAACAGAGAACTCTCCAAAATAAAAGCCCCTGGGTACAATTAAGGTCCTAGACAGGTGTAGCAATGAAACTGACATTCAACAGGAAGAGTTTTTCCTGTAGGCCATGAAGTAAATGTTAATGAGAAGACAGACTATAATAAACAATTAGATGGTAAACAATGTCTCCTAGCCTTTCAAAAAAGGGGGCACTTTATCAAACCAGGATTCTTTTCTCACAAGCGTTTTATCTCCTCTATCTTGAAACACAGGGTTCTTTGATGAGAAAATTTACCAAAAAAGTTGTTAAAAAGTTACACCCTGTTAAAAAGTTTAATTCAGAAAATGATCTTTGTCTTGCGCTGGATAGAATAACATTTTTGAATACCCATTATGTGCTAGACAGTATAGTTTAGACTCATTTAATCCTCAGAACAAGTTGTAAGGTATCATCAGCCACCTCTCAAAGAGACAAGGAAAATGAAGATCTAAAAATATTAAGAGAATTGCTGGGAGCTAGGGGTGTGGCTTAGTGCTGGAGCACTTGCCTGATGAATACAGCAGGCCATAGGTATGATCTCTAGCACCACAAAGAAAGAGAATAAAAGCCAGGCACGGTGGCACAGGCTTGTAACCCCAGCACACAGGGAGGCTGAAGCAGGAGGACTGCTGCGAGTTCAAGGCCAGCCTGGACTACAGAGTAAGAACCTGTCTCAAAAAAGAGAGAATGAGAGAACAAGAGAGAACAAAAGAGAGATTAAGAACTGCCAAAGATCACATAATTATTAAGCATTAGAACCAGAACTAAACAACCTAGGTTTATTCAACTCTAAAAAATTTTTGCCCTTTTTTCTATTTTGGTATTTTTTTGCTCTTTTTTCTAAATCAGTATTTTTAACCAATTCCTCTTAAAGCATCCACTCTATTTATGCCTATGCTTATTTTAGCAATTTTAATTCTACTGAAATAAAATTATAAATGTATATACATTATGATTTCCACTTCATAATATCTATTTTTTTCTTTTTTTTTTGAGCCAGGTTCTTGCTATATGGCCTGAACTGCAATCCTTTTGCTTCCTGGAATGCCAAGATTACAAGCATGCTTCTTCACCACCCCAGCTTTAAAATATCTAATTCTGAGGAGACAATAGAGGTACAAAAGCATAATATACATTTGGAAAACACGCTACATGAGAAATTTCACAAAACAAACATACAGACATAAAAAAGTGACTATAATGCAAACTTAACGTAAATTTTTCTTAACAGATTTGCTTCCATTGTTGTTAATAATCCTTTCATTTAAAAAGTTATTCTAAGCCGAGTGTGGTGGCACATGCCTGTAATCTCAGCACTCGGGAGACTGAGGCAGGAGAAATGTTGCGAGTTCGAGGCCAGCCTGGGCTACAAAGCGAGCTCAAGATCAGCCTGGACTGCATAGTGAGACCCTGTCTCAAAAAAAAAAATAAAAAAGTTATTCTAATATCTCATCCTTTTATCAGAAATATGGATGAAAACCACTGATCACCAGACCTTACACAAGTAGAAAACCAAGAGAATAAAAAGAAACAACCCTACAACACGGTGACATGCATGAAGCAGAAAAATGTTTCTTAAAGTGTGGGAGGTTGAAGCAGAAGGATCACAAGTTCAAGCCCACCCTGGACAATTACCAAAACTGTGTCTCAAAATTAAATTAGGTTAAATTTAAAAGGGCTGGGAATGTAGATCAGTGAAAAGGCCCCGGGTTCAATTCTCTTGTACAAAAAAATACTCTCATACATGTACAACAAACAAAGATACCCATACAAGGATATGCAGTGCAGATTTTTAAACCATAAAAACTCTTTAGAAAAAACAAGTACAGCACACCTGTAATCCTAGCACTCTGGGAGGCTGAAGATGGACTGTAAGATTGTAACTGTCTGGCAGGCTGGGCAATTTAGCAACTTAGCAAGACTCTGTCTCCAAAAATAACAAAGAACTGAAGATGTAGCTCAGTATAAAAGCACTGGCTTCAGGCCCCAATAAAGAAAGGAAGGAAGGAAGGAAGGACGGATGGACAGACGGATGGACGGACGGAAGGACAGAAGGAAGGGAGGGAGGAAGAGAGGGAGGAAGGGAAGAAAGAAGGGAAGAAGGAAGGAAAGAAGGAAGGAAAGCAGGAAAGCAGGCAGGCAGGCAGGCAGGCAGGAAGGCTGGCTGGCCAATTGACCAGCCAATCTAAAAATATATAAATATACACTGGAAGAAAAATTGTGAAATAAATGATAATCTAAACTAGATTAAAGAATAATCTGTATGTATCCACATGGCCAAGGCTGAAATGATAAATGAGTAAGTAGTCATTAAGTATATACAGTATGATCCTACATACCCAAATACACACACACACACACACACACACACACACACACACATACATTTGAAGGAGGTTGAGACAGGGTTTCACTATATAGTTCAGGCTAGCTTTGCACTCACTATGTAGCCCCGACTGTCCTCAGCCTCCTTGAGTGCTGGGATTACAGACATGAACCACCACGCCCAGAAGATCCTACTTATTTTTTAAACAAAAATGTAATGGTAGTAGTAGTAGTAGTAGCTATTACTAGCAGCTCTATTACTACATAACGCCAAGTACTAGGTACTATTTCAAGCACTGTAAATGTATTAATGTTTAATCCAAACAACCTGAGGCACTACAGTCTAACCATTACCCCCTTTCCCCATATGAAGAAGAACACTGAGGCACAAAAATTCACTTTTCCAAGGTACAGTACAAAGTCACTAAACTAAGAACTAGGACTATGGTCTATGGCACTCTAAACCCCCCAAGGTCACATGTCACATATCACATTTCTAGCAATTAGGATACAAACCAGAATCCAGCACCAGGTTACCCTCTGAAAATCTGCCACTCCCCCACAAAACCTGTAAATGTATACAAATAAATCTATAAGAATAGACATGCTGAGCTGTCAACTGTCAAATCTTTAATGATAAAAGGTTTTCCACATTTTAAAAAATATAGAAGTAGAAATCAATATAATTTGTATTCTTTATGACATACACGCATTATTTTACTATATTTTTAACCTAAACCAAGATCTCAAAAACTACATCAACCTAAAATATAAACAGATAATACTCATATCAAGAAAAAAAAACATGGGAGCAGGGAAACCTAAACATTTTAAGTAATAAAGGAATTACAAGGGCTGGGGATGTGGGACAGTGGAGGAGGGAGTGCTTTGCATAAGCATTGTCAGGAGTTCAACCTTCAGCTCTTCTGAGAAGGGAAAGGCAAAAAGACAGGGAGCTGAAGGATGGGGGAGGACGAGAAAATCAGCATGGTGCCCACACCTGTAATCCCAGCACTCTGGGAAACTGAAGCAGGTGGGTCACAAATTGAACCCTACCTAGGCTAGGCAATTTAGCCAGTCCCCGTCCCAAAAAAAACAGGTGGGGGGAGTTTCAACAGAGTGAAGAGACAACCCACAGTATAAGAAAAGAATTTTTGCCAGCTGTGCCTCAAAGGATTGCTACCTAGAATATATAAAGAACTCAAAACAACCAAACTGCCCAAATTTAAAGGACCCCCCCAGTCCAAAAATGGACATCTGAAATGAATAGACACTACTCAGATGAAGAAATAGAAACAGCAAATATATGAAAAAATTTTCAACATCACTGATCATTCATGAAATGCAAATTAAAACAACACTGAGATTCCATCTCACCCCAGAACATATGGCTATTTTCAAGCAATCAACCAATAACAAATGCTGAAGGGGCTATGGAGAGAAAAGAACCCTTCTCAACTGTTGGTGGGCATGTAGACTGGTGCAACCACTGTGGAAATCAGTGTGGAGATTTCTCAAAAGAGTAGGACTAAAGGTTCCATTCAACCAGCTATTTCCCTTCTTGGTATCTCCCCAAAAGAATTAAAAGCATCATACCACAGCAAAATATGAACACCCATGTTTATAGCAGCATAGTTTCTAATAGCTAAATCTTGGAAACAGCCCAAATGCCCATCAACCAACGAATGGATAAAGATGTGGGTTTTTTTATACAGTGGAGTACTACTCTGCCATAAAGAAGGATAAGCTCGAGACCTTTCTAGGTAAATGACTGCATCTTGAGACCACACTCTTATTGGTTACACATGTGTAAATACCAAATTGTTTCTCTGGTGTGAGAAACAAAGTGTAAATAAGAAACAAAATGTATAATAGGTATTGTGAAATAGGAAGAAAATGTTCAATGGGAAGGGGAACAAGTGAAGGAGAAAGGAAAAGGGAAAATTTTTAAAAATGAGAAAAGAGAAAATGGAAACAAAGTTTTTGTAAATGGAGAGGGCAAGAGGGGTTGAAGAGAGGGCAAAGGGGAAAAAAAAAAGAAACAAGTTATATCATGTACAGGTACAACTTCTCTGTGATGAATGTGATCATTATATGTACCTAAAATGTACCAATAAAATCTGACTGGGAAAAAAAATAAGGCATGTGCTTTAAGCAAACTGTGTTTTAATCACACATTTTTTTTTTTTTTTGGTTTTTCTCCGGTACCGGGAACTGAACTCACGACCTTGCACTTGCCAGGCAGGTGCTTTGCCGCTGAGCTAAATCCCCAGCCCCTCACACATTTAAATATTATAAAATTATTAAAGAAGGCTTCACAATATCTACTGAAATGAAAATGTCAATATGTCAAAAAAGAAATAATATAAAATTACATTTACAATGATTTGCAAAATAAAATGACTTGCACCTAATACTATGTTGTATATACACAAACACATAAATGACAGTACATATACATAAATAAGTACATATATAAACAATTCCTTGGAGGAAATTTATCAAAATGTTTACAATTATCAATGAGTTATATGGAATTATGAATGAATATTTTTCTGACACTTTCTACAATAATGACATATGGCTTTTCCAAGGGTACTGTTTTGTTTTAAGGCAGAGAAACCTTTTCACTTCATCTCATTAAAGAAATGAAGTACTGTGTTATTGTCCATCCAGATATACAGTATCTTTCTGGTTGCTAGGCAGCAGATCCTGGTGTTCCTACACCACGCCTATCGCTAGTCACAAGCAGAAAGGACAGGAACTCAGGCACAAATGCACTACTTATCAAACAGCAATATATTCATTCTGGAAAGTCACCTGAAGGGCATATAAGGGAACTTCAAATATCTGCTCAAACCATTCCCCATCTCCCACCCTAACACTACAGGTTTACTTCTGGTACGGCATAATATTCCTCCCTCAAGCTGCAAATAGGAATACCTTTTTAACTATTATTTGCCCACTCCATCCTTAATGATTTGCATTTTAGTAAATTCACCCATTAAACCAGAAATCAGTGTCTCTGTGCACACTTTTCTATCAACTGATACAGACTTAGATAAGCCCTGCTGCTTTCTGAAAACAGCCAATCGCCGTTTCAACCAGTAACTCGGTGATGACAGCATCTGCTAAGATTTCTTACTGCTGCAGAGAAGGGGAGGTTCCCCTGCTGCAGCTATACATCTCAATGCTCAGTGGCATCTCCTCCTCGCAGCAGCAGCATCTCTCACACAGAAACTTTCACAAAGTAAAGCCCAATTGTTATGACAACAACTGCTCAGAAAATCCTGACCCAGGGCACCCTCCCCAAGCTTGTCCTGCTTTGTCACAGAAACCACAGCAGCCGAGTCTTATGCCACGTCTGCCCCTGCTGCAGCAGCAGCCATGTTTGGCTCAGCCCTGCTGCAGACCCAGCTGAAAGGCAGGACAGCAAGGACAAGAGGGAAAAGGACTTTAAACAGGGAAACTCTCTAATAAATAACAGACTGAGCCCAATAAAATATTTTGCACTCATCTGCCACACCACTGAAAATATGGCTTTTGTTTAGTGATGCCTATATTAAAAGTACTACTTTAAACATTTCTCATGCCATCATAAAAAAATCTGAGGAAATCTAGTTAGGACAATGTGAGCTCAGCACTAGTATTGACAGTACAGTAAAACAAAGATGGATTTAATCATAATTCGTAAGAAACCTAATGCTTAGTTAAGTTTCTGTTTAACTCAACTCACAACAAAAGCTCTGATCGTTGGTTCCCTTTAGAAAAATCAATAAATGTTATTTTAAATCCTCTTCACTCTCTCAAAACAATGACTATAACTTTAGCTATCTTTGACAAATGAAGACCCTGCAGGGGGTCAAATTTTAACAGAAAAGGCAGGCATGGTGGCACACATCTGTTATCCCAGCACTTGAAAGGTTAAGGTAGGAGGATCGTTGCAAGTTTGAGGCCAGCCTGGGTTACACAGTGAGTTCAAGACCAGCTTGAGCTACAAAACAAGACCCTGTCTCAAAAAAAAATTCAACAGATACATGGATAAAGCACACAAAACATCACTTATGACAGTAAAAATGACCTAATCTCACCAGCAACTAGCAGATAACCATATGAACACTGAATAACCATCCAGTTTTTCTATATACTTTTTAAAATAAAACCTAATCATATGTTATTTTTAACTGACTCATAGTATAAACAAGGCCCTTTTTTGGTCAGTACATGTTTGTTTCTTTTGTCGGGGAGGTCCTCAATAGGCAATCCAGTCTGTTCTAGGACTCATGGCAATCCTCCTGCCTCCTCCTCCCAAGTGCTGGTATTTCAGGTGTACACCATCACACCCAGCTAGTCAGTACGTTTCTGCAACATTTTTAATGGATACATAGTATTTTTACGTAATATAACCACTAATTTGCTTAAAAATTTATTACTAGGCCTTTAGTATGTTTCAAAATGTTTGCTATTTTATAAACATGACAATCAGAATTTTATTTAAACACCTAACTTTCAAAACACAATTGTGTAAAAGCAGATGGTATAAAAAAGGGCAGGACTGATTTCCAAAAAATCCTTGAATATAGTGAAACATTCCCTTAGAACACTAACAAAAAAATGGGAGGCTAGGAGTATAGTTAGTTCAGTGGTAAGCATTGCCTAGCATGCATGAGGCCCTGGGATTCCATCCACAGCACAGCAAAATAAATGCTTTACTTCTATTTTTTGGTTTTTTGCTGTTGTTTTGGTTTTTTAAGACAGGGTCTCGCTACATAGTTCAGGCTGGCCTCCAACTCGGGGCAATCCTCCTGCCTCAGCCTCTCGAATGTTGGAATTGCAGGTATGTACCAACACATCTGGCTTTAATTTATTATTAATTAATGCATGCCAGGTGTGTTGGTGCATGCCTGTAATCTCAGCACTCAGGAGGCTGAGGTGGGAGGATCACAGTGAATGTGAGTTCAAGGCAGTCTGGACTACACAGTAAGTTCAAGGCCAGCTTGAATTACACGGCAAGACCCTGTGTCCAAAAAAAAAAAAAAAAAGAATGCAAAAATAACATTTTGTTGTTGTTGTTGTTTTTTTGTTTTTCTCCGGTACCGGGAACCGAACTCACGACCTTGTGCTTGCCAGGCAAGCGCTTTGCCGCTGAGCTAAATCCCCAGCCCCTCAAAAATAACATTTTAACGTAACAATGGTCCAATTTCTACTAAGGCAATGATGGTGAACCCTTTAGAGCTTTCAATGATAACAAACAACAGGCACACATGCCATAGATTCACCACCACAGACCAAGGGGCACAAGAAATAAAGTCCTAAACCAACCTGTCTCTTACCTACTCCATTTGGAAAGAGATTAGTTTTGGTCTCTGTCTGACCCATTATATTCATTTAATAAAGTTCAAACAAAAGACAACAGCAGCACCCTGGGGAGAACTGGAGCAATCTTATCATTTAAAATGAACAAAGGACTCCACTCCATCCTTAGACCAGAAGATGAAGAAATTAAGACTTTAAAGAGGTTTTAAGACTCCCAGATCTACAGCTGGGCATGGTAGCACACACCTGTAA